ATAGCAAGAGGAAAAGAGTGCTTTGATAGTGAAGAAGTGGCTTTTTTTTGCCTGCCTTTCCTGTCAGGGAAATCCTGCTTCGATCTTTTTGCCATGTAACACCATAGTATGTATGTTTTCCAAAGTATGTACAGCAGCTAAAAACCAGGTAGACGTTATGGGTGAGAGAACTTGCACAAATTCTGTTTTTAACTGTGATTTAACAAGCTATGTCTCCGTTTCATTTGATAATTCTGTTGTTTTCAGAAATGTTACTTAAATGGGTAGGCAGAGTACTTAGCTGTTGGGTGGTGGCGATTGAGCTTAGTGCAGATAAAGGTGAAATGAACTGAAGTGAGTTTATGACTCGTTGGAGGACATCATCTGCTATTTTACATGCACATGACATTGTAAGTAAGAATAAAGAAGTAGAAATGTTTTTTTAGAGATGTATTAATAATTTTACAAAGTTAACACTTTTGTCCTTTATTCAACCGCCACTGTTTCCTTCCTTCTCCCGGGACTAGATCTAAATTATATTGCTTGTAGGTAACTAAAACAGTTGCAAGTGAGCAGAATTAATTTGGTATCTACTTTGCAAATGTTGTTTCATGTGGAAGATATGAAGAAACATTTAGTGCCTCCCGGATAAGAGAGGTCATGCACTGTGAAACTACAGTTTTTCATGGACATTTTAACTTTACCACTCAAAAAGAACTGTCATAGATGCTCAATGGTTTTCTGTTGATTTTTGTCTAATTTTTATGATTTTAATGAACTCATAGGCCTGGGTACCATAGTTTCAAAATACTGCACAAGTAGGTCCTAGCAGCAACTAATATTTGCAATGAACTTTTTTGTGAAACCATTGAGGTAAACGTATATAACGTAATTTAAAAAATACTTAAGGCTGTGTTCACTTTCCAAAAAATTTTGTGAATAATTTATTTATTCTGATTTTTTTTAATAGGTGTAAGGCAGACCCTTAGAAAGCTGTGGAAGGTTTGTGGGCTTTTTTCAGCCAAAACAATGACTTTTTCCTCCTTTGTCAGGTGAAAGCAATGATAGTTTTCCCTATTTCTGTAACAGTTTTGCTTTTGGGAAAACACCGGACTGCAACTGCAGTAAAGGCAGTGGGTGGCATATGTGTGTTGGTCTAGGGAAACAGGCATTTTGTAGGATGGTGTGATTCACTGACTTGCAACTTTGGTTATAACTCTTGTCTTTTCTAGTGTGCTAGTTAATGCTCCTGATAATGAGATCTTTCCTTACCTCAGCAAATCCTGATTTACTTTTGGATGTGTATTGGGTTTGCGTGGCAAGGTTTTGGTAGTGGGGGGGTACATGGGTGGCTTCTGTGAGAAGCTGCTAGAAGCTTTTCTGAGTGCAGAAAAGAAATTTTTCTTATTAAAGAGAAAATAAAAAAGCCCAGCCCTTCTGTTACACTATCTGAATAAGCACAGGGATAACAGAAGTACAGTTACTTGAAAAGTTCCAAAAGTTTCTTGATACAGAGGAGCCAAGTGTGTCACCAGTGGACAAAAAGGGAAAGTTTGTGTCTCTGATCATCTATGGGGTAAAGAAGAAAAGCTACTTAATGATGTGGCTTTAAAATAGTGTGATGAAGAGAAGTTTCCAACAATGCTTTAAACTTATTTCAATATTTAATGTTTTGGTTTGGTTTTATTTTCACAAAGTATGATCTCACTATGTGCTCTGAGTCAAGAAAAAACATGCAGCTACTTTAAGGGCTGCATGAAAAAGATGATGTTGGCACCTTTTCTACAGAGATGGTGCTCATTTCTTGCACAAACAAAACCCAGGAACTTGGAAAACTGGCATGTAGAAACTCAGAAATTATATCAAGGCATTCCATATGGTCTGTGTTTGAGAGAAAATCTAAAGCAAATGGGTTAACTGTTGCCCTGTAGCTCTCACATTATCTTACTGTGTGACCAGAACGGCTTTCCGGGGGATACAGACAGCACCCAAACTGCTGTAGGCTATTGTATGAATGAAACAACCTGGGTGAAGTGAGTAGAATGGGCCCAGTCAGAGCTCTGGGATAAGAGTTTCCTGTTTTATCTTACTCGTCTATTTATTGCAGAGCTCAGGAGTGGCCCACGCGGAGGAGGAATCTGTGTGGACCCCTGCACACAGCACCTAATTGCAGGTAGCTGACAGAAGGACGTGTCCCGCTCTGCGGGTGGATGTTTGCCGCATGCTGAACCACCCAGAGGAGTTCATCAGCCGGTGCCATGCGCTGTCGTGTCATGGCTGTGGTGAATGAAGTCACCCGCCTTCTGCCAGAGCCCGGCCGCCCTGCCTTTTCCATTTGCGCAGCGCGGTTTCAGGATTCTGCCGTTAGTGATCAGCATTGTTCCCATAGCAGCTATCTGCAGTTTCCTGTTTCCCCAGAAACAAGAGGAGCAAAGAGGAAGCACTTTCTTAAGAGTCCTGCTTCCAGCCACTGAATGCAAAAATCCCCCTTTAACCCTCTTTCTCCCAGATTTCTCCTACAAATATGTTGCTAGTGTTTGTCTCTCGGATACTTTAATCCCTTGTTTTTCCTCCACTTCAAGAAACTGGCATTTTGGTGACTCTGCTCTCGTGTAAGGTAGTCGGTGTGAGACAGCTCTGTTGGTTCTGATTCTAGCCTAATGTATGCTTTTGGGTATGTTTTTGGAAGCATTTCTGGTGTTTCACTTGTTGACAAAAAGTAACTCCTTAGAACTTAGTCGGTACAAAACAGTGTGAGGTAGCTCAGTTGCTTCAGCAAAGAACATTTGTTGGTCCTAGATCAAATAGACTTGATCACAGCTGCAGTTCTAGTCCAAACAATATAAAAAGAGAAGATGTCCTCAAGAAGGGTTAGGTAATCCAGGGCCAGGGAGAGTGGCCAGGGAACACCATTCCTCAAAAGCTGTATTTCAGCGACATTTTGTCAAAGTGAGCCTCGAGTCTGTGATGACATGGTTTCCACACTACTTTCAAAGTGACCTCTGTATTCTGTATGTTTTACTTTATATTGCAAAAGCCCAGATGCATACAGAATTTTAAAGAGTCTCATGAAAAAAGACTGCAACTCTATTAGGCTACACCTGTGTAGTAGCAGGGCAGCTTTCCAACACTAGGAAATTCTAGCTTACAAAGAAAATAGCATTTGCCTAAAGATGCTCTGAGTTGCTTTTAAGTATTAGAGCCAGAAACTTATGATTAAATGTTTGAGTAGTTCTTGCTAGGAATCTGTTATTTTGCCAAGTCCTTTCCATTTACCACAGCCTGTTACATATCCTATGTAATCCCTTACCCGAATTCGGTCTACTGTGGCAAAAACAGGTGTGGGAAGCAGTTGGGGCGATGGATTACTGACCGTTGTGTCAGCTCAGTGGTGCTGACAACAGTTTCATCTACTGTAACCAAGCAGATCTGGAAAAAATGAGAAGTAGGTTTCTGAAGTACTGTGAAGTATTTTAGCCTTTTACTCAAACCACAGTCAGCAAGAGTTCAGCTGCGTACACTACCAGCAGCAGTGCCTGCTGTGCTGCTGGAGACTATCAGCCTAACCACAGGAAAGGCAGTCCGGGTTAGACTAAAGGGCATTCCCAGCTGTCTCTGAAGATGGTGCACTAAGAAGTAAAACCAGAAGTTTACGAAGAAGATAAGTTTTCTTGAATGTAGGTGCTGGGAGGGTGAACAGGAGTGTTGTTCGTCTTCAGTCACAATGTCGTCTTATTTCTGCATGAGCTGGATTCTTCTGATTCTCTTTACAGGTAACTTAAGAGGGCCTAAATGAGTAGGAGGTGGATGGAGGTAACACGCATCGCTGTTTCTGAGGGTTGCAAAGAGAGATTTTTATGTTACAATGGGAAGAGTGGCCACATGGCACAGAAACTGCAGTTTTGTGTTACGAATAGGACTTCAGCACAGTGGCTCAATAGTCTTCTGATGGCTTTATCTACTTCTTAAAACAAAATGATGTTGAGTATATGATGGTTTTAAAGACACTGCTTCTCAGGCTGTCTGCTAGTCTTATTAGTGAATGATTTTTGGGTTTTTTAGATAATGATGACCTGAGATGATCAGAGAACTTTAAATCATTTTAGAAAAGATGTAAAACAAGGATATTTCACTTCAACAGGCTTTGTGAAGGGGAATGCTTAGGAAGACAGGGAAAAGGTCAACTCTGGCTTCTTTTAGCCAATGCGAAATTTTATTGGGACAAATTGATAATTTGTCCTTTTTATACTGAGAAAGCAGTCCTAGGATAATACTGTTAAAGGCACTGAAAACAGAAGGTTGCATAGTGGTACTTGTATAGGCAGATAGACATTAAAAATTTGGTGGTAGAATATGTTCAGTAGGAAGAAAAGGGATATTACAAGTATTATTTCCTCTAGTTCTTTATAGAAGCACCTTTTATGATGAGATTGATTTAAACCTTGCTTTTTTGTATGAAATAAAATACATTATTTTTAGAGATTAGTTTCTAGTATGCTATTGTGGCCAAGTCTCTGAATGCAGACTTTATTTTTAACTATAATAGGTTAGGTTAGGAAAATGACTGAGCTGAGCTGGGAAAACAGCTTTTTCACAAGGGACAATTGCAATCAAGCCATACAGTGCTTGGGATCTACTGGCGCATGTTGGTGGACCTGCCTCGGGGAGCTCCCGTCCTGATTATAGACTGGGCTAGGCTTTTCATAGAGATAATTTGTTGCTTGTACTTGCTGCAGAGAATTCTATCCCTGAAATGTTAATATGGATAGATAAAAAATGTTTAACATATGTGGTCCCATGTTACTGAATTTGATAAGAAATGCGTAGTGGTAAATACATGGCAAACAGGTTTCTTTGAAGTACAAGCAGTCAGAACGTGCACCTCAGGAGCCCCACGGCATAACCTGTTAGAAGAAGGTGGTTACAGGGTGGCTGTGACTGGATCACCAGAGCACAAATGATTTTGGCTGGCACTAAATGCAGCTTTTATTAAAACCCTTTTGAAGGGAATATTGACTGGTATGGTCTAAATACAGCAGAAGTAACTATCTGACTGTGGTGAATGGGCTACTGGCTGCTAGGTCTCACTGTTTTCACTTGAACAGTGTGGTGTAGCCTTCTGGAAATGTGAAAAATTAGTTTTAACGGGAACCAAACAAGTTAGAAACTGCGTAAGAATGAGGTAAGAAAATAAGGTAGTGAAAAAAGAAGGTATAAAATTTCTCAGAAAAGCTCTGAAAAAATCTCCTCTGATAGAAATAGGCAAAAATCTGTCATTAGGCAAGAAAAAGGGAAACGTGTTCAGCAGTGATTGTTCTGATGAAACCTGCCATTTAGTGGCTTTTCATTGAAAGAGAGGAAGAGTTTCCCACAACGGTTTTAATGAAAGTCAATGACTTGCTGTTCCCCCATGTGTGGCTCGGATTAAATCTCGACTAAGGAAAAAAATAAAGTGCTAACAGACCGGACTTGGCTAAAGAGAAGCCACCAAGTTGTGCAGAACCAAACTCTGTTCTCTCTTCACCTCTCTGCCTACCTGCAGAGGCTGCAGAAAGCGTGTTTCTTCTTTCTCTGGCTAGACACACATTCTGAACAAATCACTGGCCCGATCGTTCTCCTTCACTGTGCCAGACCTGCTGGGTTTCACGTCTGTTCGTGGAAAACCCAATCCAGCAGCGCCCGGTGGTGTCTGCGAGATGGGAGGTATTGGGTCATGCAAGATGCACCGGAAGCTTCCACTTGTGTGCACCGTGCTCAACAGCTACACTTACCTTTTTGTCCACAGGCCCCACAGTATCAGGATCGCTAGTGAAAGGAAAGGTTGGTCAGAACATCACTGTGCCCTGCTTTTACAGTGTTAAGACGACATGGGACATCACGTCAATGTGCTGGGGTCGTGGCAGCTGCCCTGTTTCAAAATGTTATCAGACCATTATCTGGACAGATGGATGGAGGGTGACGGAGCAGCACAACAGCAGGTATATGTTGAAAGGGAACCTGCCGATGGGCGACGTGTCCCTCACAATCGTGAACGCCGAGGAAGCGGACAGCGGGATATACTGCTGCCGCGTGGAGATCTCAGGGTGGTTCAATGACCAGACAAGTAATTACAAGGTCGTGATAGAGAAAGGTGAGTGCAGAGGCGCATTCTTTTGTGGTAAATCTGCTGTGGAGTCTGGATTTCAAAGCTTGTGGTGGAAATGACTTCTATAATAATCCATAGGACTGATCTTTAGGACTTTGCAGGTCCGCTGTTGGTGGCTGTCTTTGGCATTGTTGTGATCCCAGCGCAGCCACTGCAGTTAAAAAAGGATGTGGTGCTTTGTTTCATGGTGCACAGCACTACTGAGCTTTCTTAGAAGCACTATTTGAAGAATTCAAGAGAAAGGGCAGCATAGGGTACTGAATTAATCTGAAGTGCTATACTTGCACCCTTTTCATAAAAAACAGTGCTTCGTTTTCTCTGCTTGATTCCAGAGTAAAGCCCAGGGACAGAAAATTAGTATAGACCTTTTTTTTTTTTATCAACCCTTCCTTTGATTTTTAGTTTTTCCTCTTGTTTGTAGAAGCCATAATGATATATGTAATAAGTGGCTGACAGATGTACTTGTGTAGCTGGTGCTAGCAAATATTTATTATAGAAACACTTTCTCTTTTTCACTCCATAAATACACACTGAGGTTAATGATAACATATGTTGGTTTTGTTTTATTTTTTAACATCAGCTAGGACCTCTACTGCAAGTCCTCACACTTACACCTCTGAACAGACCTCAGGTAACTTTTATCCAAGTATTAATCTCAACAGCATATGTAAGCTATATTGCAAATGGGGATCTTAGGAAGGAAACAAAATGATAGATTATAGAAATGTCTGGATTAAAATTTGCTAAACATTACCACAGGAAACAGAGATCAGAACTTGGATTTAAATTCTGCCTGACATTATACAGAGTCTAACAGAAGGAACAGGTATACATGGGAGGGAGTTTGCTTGCAGGTGTTATGCTTAAGTAGTTGTTTTATTGGTGCTCCAAGCATTGTTTTTCTTGTGGCTGTTGTTTTGGTGTGTTGTTTTGTTTGTGGTATAAAATCTCACCTTGTTTTCTGGAAATGCATCCCATGAACAGAAAAACAAATTTTTAGGAGTTGGGTGTGCCCACTATTTAATCAATTTATTTGTTGCTCTATAACATAGAACTATGTTATTAGGCTAGCTCAAAAGTGCATCTAATTCAGGATCCTGTCTCAGTAGCAGTCAACAGCAGAGATGATTAAGGAGGATCGCAGAAACAGGGCAGTAATTTCGTGGTACAGTGCCAAAGTGTTGTTCTCCCCGTTGCAATGTGTGCCTCAGAGGCTGCCCACGTCCTCTGTAGCCTGTGCATGTTTAATAATGTGAGGCCCCTCGATTCGAATCGAACAACGATTCCTCACTCTGTTTCCACTCACAAGTTTATAGAATTCTATCATCTACACACCCAGCTGAACCTTTTTCAGCCTAAAAAAGACAACTTTAACTTCCAGTACACAAGAGAGAGCTCATAGTGTAACAATAGCTTATTCTCTGGATTTTGAAAGAAAAATCACGGATGCCATTTATATTTCTCCTCCTATCTTGGATATTTCCAGCTAAGCAACTCTAAAGTGTTACAACAGTTGCGTTTCCTTTTTGGAAGAAGAAGTGAAAACTTTCTCACACTGTTTCTGTTCTAGTTGCAAACAACATGGCTTCCAATCTTAGAACTCACGGGTTTTCTTAACCCTGTGACATCTTCCTTGGCTGCTGGTGGAACAGATTTTGTATTTTCAGAATACAAGTTAATATGTGCATGTTCACACAGAGGGAGACTGGAAAAGGCAGGTGGCCATGTGCCCCCGATGTAGGAATGCTCCAGCATCTCCAATGGAAGAGAGCAGTGAAGCAGATGATCCTGTCTTCTTCAAAATAAAGCTTCTATGATAAGGGTAACAATTTAAAACATCACAGGAACCAGCTGGAGTTGTCCTAATGTGATAAAGGAGATTTTGTTTTCAGGAGGGTTGTATATCATCTGACAACATATGGAGAAAGTGAGACTCATTGGTATGGAAGACATAAGTTTGTAGCTCTGAATTTTAAATATTGCAAACAGCTTTGCTCTGGGGAATTACCTCAAAATATGCTGCTGGTCCTTATGCAAACATATCACACGGTCAGTCTGTCTGTTGTTATAGCTGTCTGGGACTTTATAACTTGCTTTCCTCTAGCTCTGCACTACTTGCTCTTTCAAGGTCCTGAGCTAACCTTAATCAGTTTTCATCAGATAACCTAAGTGTGCTTTAGGCATCCACTGCCTCTTCCTGTCTCCAAAAACAGATGCCTACCTTGGTAACTCCTTCCTTCTAGGCCCTGTGTTGAGATAGCAGCAAGAGCTAAGTGTGTCCTGGAAGGAATTCAAAGCTCTGAAAAGGGCAGCGGAGGCTCCAATATTCAGAGTTTTGTGCTGCCCTCTGAAAGCACCAACCTCTTCATGATATGCAGAGTTGAGACTCCTGATAGGGAGATACTTAAGTTCAGTGGTCCCAAGTCAGCAGTACAAATTCCTCTCTGTCAAGGCAGAATGGTTCTCTGTGCAAGTGATGTGTTTGTCTTGCCTTGGCTCAGCTCCTGGGAGTGCCAGCAAGTCATCCTTTACCACCACAAGAACATGGCCATCGGTTTCTGCTTCGGAAGCTCCTCGGACTGTAAGCATCTCTGTTGTGCTATAGTACACCTGGACAGAGTGGGTAGACAGAAGAGGTTATTGGGTCATCCCTACAGTTCACTTCTACTGTTTTAGTTTAATTGCAAAAGAATTTTTTTTTTGTAGTCTACACGTTTCGTGGTTATGAAAGAATGCTTATGTGCTCATTATTAAAGGGGAAAAAACCCCTGCTTTGCATGCATAAAGTACTTCCTACTAACGCGTGAAAAGCTTTAGCAACATCTACATTGCCTTTCAGGCCTCTGGTCCCTGCTCAAGCACCTCAGACTGCTTGGACGTAACCTCAAAGCTGCAGGTATGGCAGGATTTGGGGAAGAATGGAAATTGGACTGCCTGACAGCATGGCAACGCACCTGCACTCCCCATGCAATGGGGTTCAAACCGGCAGCTCTGTGTCTGTCCTGCTGAGTCCTCCAGCACATATTTTAGAGTGACAGGCAGAAACATCACCCAGATTTTATCAGGAAGACAGCCACGTTAGCCTTTGGGAAGGCCTGCTGTGACATACTACAAGGCAATATGTGTTACGGGCGTTCCTACTGCTGCATGAGCAGAATGTAAGTCAGGGACCATACGGAGCTTCAGCGTCTTCCCAGACCCAAGTTCCTAATGAGAGGGTAGATAATTAATGGCTAGCTTCAGAAAGAAGTTTTGCCTAAATAAAGACCAATGTAAGGTGAAGGCATATTTATTTATCGATGTAAAGCCTTGAATAACTACTGAATAAGTTGACAAAAAGGGTGTGTGTGTGACACACACGCCTGGAGATATTTCAATCATACAAAATGAATAAAATATTCACTAAATAGTATTAAACTGGAACAAATGGGATTTGTCATAACTTCTGATCCTTTGACTATCTCAAGAAGTAATGTGTTTAACAGCACAGTTCACACAACTGTTGCAGTGACACTGCTTGAAACTAGTCTTGTAACTCAAATTAGGCTCTTGCTCTCAAGTATCTTTTACTGCAGGGTTGCAAAACACAGAAATGGCCTTTGGGTACTGCATGGGCTTCTCACTGTCAGTGGCACTAATGCTCATCTGTTTTGTGTTTGACAGAACGTGTCTGTATCACTTCCCAGTCATCAGTATTCAGAAAATGGGCTATACATTGGGATTGGTTTATGTGTGGTACTTCTAGCCATCCTTATTTTGGCTCTGTTCCTCACTAGGCGTAAGTACTAGGTGGTTATTCAGGTGGTTATTCACGGATGGGCCAAGTACTTCAAATCACAGCTGTGGCAGATGTTGCATGTCTTCTGCTTCAGGGAAGTGAGCTGTTGTCTCTGGATGGCCTCACTGTGTGCCCTGTGCTGTGGTTGCTTGCTCAGCTCTCCCCCTCAGCCTCTGGGGCACAGGGCCAATGTGGTCTCGTCATTTCATGTCTCAGACTCCTCAGTGACCAGTTGACCCATGGTCTGGTGAGGTGATGCATGATACAAGTCCACCTCCCGCGCTCCACGCATTTGCTCCTACCCATTCCTCAGTTGGAATGTCATGCTGTCCCAGTCTTTC